TTTCTGTGGCCGGTTGGTAGTCAAGTTTCGCAAACTCTGTTGTAGCTCTCAGTAAAGCTGATTTCATCAACAGCTGAAAAACATCAGAGTATTAACTGTACCATGTTACGCAAGGATGATGCCCCTGTTCATACTTTTGGTATGCATTATCGAAGTTACATTTGAAGCCATTTGTTACGGTTTAGGGTTTATTATTAGTAATGAGGCAAATAATCGGACTATTAAATATGGTGGTCTTCGAAGTAACTTTTCTCCTGTTGAGTCTTTATCTCTTGCAAAGTTTACCAGACCTTTTTGCTTTTTGTGAGACTAAATTGAGTTTGGTTTTCCCATCTTGTGATCTTAGTAATGATGGTTATCTTCTGATCAAATAATAAACTACTTATCAAAGTTGACAGATGCTCATGGTACTCCATTATTAAAACATAGGAGAAAAACCTTTTCTTGTATAGGGTTAATTGTGGCTGCAAAACGTCTTCAACCCTTAGCCTATGAGCTTTTGACTTTAAATGTTCATCCTTTTAAATTTTGCCTAGCATTCAAATTTTCACGAAATCATCTTGAGTTATTGTTCTCTTGTATTCGTGAAATGAATGGATTTAATAATAATCCATATGTCATCCAACTTAAGTCATATTTAAAAAGAATTCTTTTGCGCAATTCTATTGTAGGCTCAAAGCATGCAAATTGTTTAACATTTGAGGATATTGCATATGGGTCTATTTTTGCATTAAAGTGGAGTAAAAAATCTGCAATTTATTCAAACCCTGAAACAGATTTTGTAAACTTTGATATTGATGTTGTTACGATACAAAATTATCTTGATAAAACCTCTATCTATAAAGAAGCAATGCTAGGGTATCTGGATTTATTGTAAGAAGATTATTATCAAAGATAATATGTTCTGTGTATGCAAACTCATTTATATCCCAAAACAATTTTGTCGAACATTCTTATGGAACATCAGCTCTTTTATTGATTAACATAAAAAATAAGGGTGGGCTCCAAGAAATGATGTTATACAAACTATGATTGTATATATATATATATATATATATATATATATATATATATATATATATATATATATACATATATATATATATATATATATATATATATATATATATATGTATATATATATATATATATATATATATATATATATATATATATATATATATATATATATATATATATATATATATATATATATATATATATGAAAATATTATAAATAAAAATATTAAATTAAGTTTTATTAATTTTTTTTTTGTTTAAATTGAAAATCTCGCTTTTCAAAGGAAAGATTTTCTTTATATATCTTAATACCTATAGAAGTTTTTTTGTATTGAAAACAAGCAAATTTAAGCAGCCGTGGCGCAGTGGTGAGTGTTCTGGCTCAGAACCCAGAGGTCCGAGGTTCGAAGGCAGCACTAGCCCAACAAGCGACATGTCACACAGAGCACAGAGCAAATACAAATTTTAAAATAAAAAATGAAATAAAATTTTGAAACCTTTAACAAAAACAACGCATATTTTGCGCTACTGCTGTTTCTCATCCTCCTCAACCCCCCCCTCCCCACTTTTTATTTTATTTTATTTTTGATTATGATAGATAATTTTATGCTGATTAAGAATCGTATTAAAACATTGGTCTGAAAATCAACAGAAAGTGCTCTAATTTGATGTTAAAGTTTAAAAAATTACACTAAAAAACGCCAATTTTTAAATACGTTTTTCATCAAATTTAACATTTTGAAATCGATCGTTAAGAAAATATTTTTTTAATTACGCAACCCTGTTTTTATTGTCATCAATATTAAGTTATAATTGAATTAAATGTTTTTATGAATGCAATTTATATAAATTTAATTATTTCTTTATTAAATTAATTCAAATATTGCTTTTACAAATGTAAATACATCGACTGACAAATAAGCAGTGGCAGATTAAGACTCCTTGGGGCCCGGGGCTATTTTTGTTTTTGGAGGCTTTTTTATGGGCCAGAGCTTAAAAATGACTAAAAAAAAAAAAAAAGGTCCTCTAAAATTTTTAGGAGCTCCTAAATTTGCGGGGCCCTAGCCCCCCCCCTTGATCCGGCACTGCAAATAAGGATTGGCATAACTAAATGCACATACATCGACTTACAAACAGGGATTGGCGCAATTAAGGGCCAATCCCTGTTTGTCAAGTCAAACAACAATCCGATTATCAAGGGATAAATCAGAAAATGATGCGCTTAGCATTTAAGTTTTAACAGTTTCAACAGTTTTGCATTAAATTGTTGATAGAAACCAGGCTTCTGAAAATCATCTTAAAAAAGGGTTTTAATTATAACCGAGAATGAAAAAAATGGCTAATATTAGCGTTTTTTAGTACAATTTTTAAACTTCAACATCCGAATTAAAGCACTTTCTGTTGATTTTCAGACCAATGTTTTTATACTATTCTTAATTAGCATAAAATTCTCTATCATAATCGACAATGAAAATATTTTACATAATTATTTAATTTTAAATCAAAATCAAAATAACATCAGGTTTTTCAGATATCTGTGGATTACATTAAATTAAACAATCTTAAGCTTCGTATTTTGTTTTGCTTTGATTTTGAAGATCCCATAATAACCTTCAGTTTTTCTTATACCAATTTACGGCAGTTAGACATCTAGTTATTCTTGATATCAGTGCCGTGCCAAAAGCCCCCCAAACCCCCCGGTTGGGGGGGGGGGCCTAGGAATTTGAAGGGGCCTTTTTTGAAAATTAAAATTATGATATAGGTGTTTTTTATTTATTTATAATATTAAAACTTCGTATTAATGTTTGCTTATTTTTTCAAATTCGGTAAACCTAACAAAATGATGCATGTATTGACATGCATACAATGATAATTGTATTGACTGGCGAATACAAAAGAGGGGGTGGGGATTAGCCCCCAAAGAACTATCAAACTTTACATTTTTATTAATAAAAATTTAAAAAAAAAAAGGAAAATTAAAAAAATGCTGTTTTAAAGTTATACACACATTTAATATATATACCGTATAATCTCTCTAATTCGAATCTCCTTAATTTGAAAACCTCCATAAATCGATTAAATGCAAAGTCACCGTGAAATACCCTTATGTGAAAAAAACTTTCTGTAATTCTAAAATCACTCTAATTTGATTTTTTATTTTCCCCATTTTTGTTCGAATTAGAGAGATTGTACTGTATATATTTGCCAATATATAAACATTGTAAATGATCAAATGAAATAGTTGTTTAACCTAAAAATAGGGCCCTTTTTTTTTGTTTTTGTTCTGACTATCCTCCATTAGGACCGATCAGTGACCTGGATCTACCATTGATTGTATTGCTGAGTTAGTGGACGTTTTATTTTAGTAAAACTTTAGTTTAGAAAGTTTTGTTTTTGTTTATCTTAGTTTAAGTTAAATCTTATGAAAAAGATGCTTTGTATTACTAAATTAATCTACGCAGCGCAAAGATACAGCTGCCGATTTTTAATTTAAAAAGCAATCTTTTATTCAAAAGATTGCCTGCCCAGGCCAAAACCCTCCGTCTATGTATGTACGTTCCACTACACCAATCCTTAGATTGTCAGTCGATGTATACACACTCCACTTCGCCAATTTCTAGATAATCAGTAGACGTGTGTACACTAAATTGTGTTTACCCCTATATCAGTATACAAGTATATATTTGCAACCTATAAAAAGAAACAATCAGATTTCGCTACTTGCTGAATTCCGATTAGTTCATTAATAGTCACAATGACTATTAGTGACTTTAGGCACAAAAATTAAAGCAACAGTACCGTTGCGCTAGACACAGCGTTTAGTTAAATTACAAAACATCAAATTATTATTTAATTCCAATTTTTTTTTTTCTTTTTACTTTTTAATTTTATCGATAAAACTTTAAAGGTTGACAATTCTTAGGGGGTGCAGGTGGGGCGGTAAAGAAGAAGTGATTTTAAAAACAAATTACCTCCTCCTAAACCGGGGGACGGGCTTGACGTGTTACAAGGGCCCAAAAAAAATTTTTTTTGGGGGGGGGCCTACCAACTGTCTGGCACGGCACTGCTTGATATATCATTGATACATATTGACTGCATATCTAGGGATAGACACATTGTAGTATAAATACAATAAGGAATTTAGGCTTGGGCAAGCAATCTTTTAATTAAAAAAAAAAAAAAGAAGTACTTCTTGATGTTTATTTAATCGATTAGCAAGTTTTTGTTTGCTTTTGAATAAAAATTTAATTACGTTTAAGTAATTTTATTTATTTTTATTATAATTGGTTAAAAAAATTAAATTGCTTTCAAAATATATGACACAAGTTATAAACATTTTTTGTTTGTGAGAGATTTCATATTGAAAATCTAACTTATATATTTTTTTTAAACGTACAAATAGACTATAATAAGATATAGTCTATTCACACGTGCGAGCGAATAGACTTACCCTTTTTTAATTTCTATCTTTATTTTAACATAATTTTCAATTGTAAACTATTTAACTTTCTATATATTTGTATAAAAATATTAATGTAATAACAATATAATTATATATATATATATATATATATATATATATATATATATATATATATATATATATATATATATATATATATATATATATATATATATATATATATATATATATATATACTTATATACTTAACAGTTCTTCATAAAACCAAAAAGCATTTTTAAAGTTAAGATAGGTGCAAACACAAAAACAAAACACTTCTTACAGCTAAATAAACTTTTTGATAAAAGTTTATTTAGCTGTAAGAAGTGTTTTATTTTTGTGGTAGTTAAATATGATGAAATGCTCAACATTCTTTGTATAGTTTATTCTTTTGTTGTTTTGATCCATTAAACGTTCTTTGCTATCTTTTTCATTATCATTCTTTTGTATCCCTCAATAACTTGTATCCTACTTTTAATCTTTTAAATGATTCCATGCAATAGTAAAAAGACCTCAATATAACTTTTTTATTGTTATTTATATAACTAACCTTACCAGTAAAAGAAAAAGGTTTCTACGTTAGTTACAAATTACATTCTACAAATGTTACAAGTAATTTTACATATTATAACTATTAAGGCAAGCTCATTATTTGGATTGGTAAGTAAATTCAACTTAACTTGTTTTACGATAAAAAAATATTTATTTGTTTTATTTAAAAAAATAAATAAACTTTACGTAAGAAAATATTACTTATGGCAAGTAATCCGAAAAATAATTTTTTATTAATTTAAAGTGTCATTTATAGCAAGAATAAAATCTTGGACCAAAGTTAGGCAAAACTATTTTATTCTAAAGTTGCGCGATAGTTTATACAAAATTAATTAAACTTAGTTCTTCAATATGGTTCATTTAGCAAATAATTTCCTACTATGTACTTATAAAAAGATTTCAACGTAAAAAGGTCTTTGAAAAGTAAGATATACATTGTTTTTCACATATAAGTAAAACATTTAACATTAAAGACGTTAAGTTTATATACATCGAGTATTTTCATTGTATTCGAAATGAGTGCAATCAAACTTTACCAACTAATTTTATTATAAATAATTATGTTTTAACTTTTAAGGATTCTTGCACAAATAATGTATTTTATTGACAGAATATTGCAAAGGCTTAATTTTAACTTAGACTGCTAAAAACAATTAAAAAAAAATCTGATATTGGTAAGGAAGGAGGCGTCAACTTCCTAGTTAAATGCTTTTCAATAGTGGTCTTTAAGGAATTTTTAGAGTTCCTTATATATATATATATATATATATATATATATATATATATATATATATATATATATATATATATATATATATATATATATATATATATCTTTATTGTCATCAGTTATTTGTATCCTATTTTTATGTTGTGAATTTTTGAATAAAAACACAGTAAAAAACCAAAAGATTTAAAAGATTAACGAATTCATTATATAATCTTATTCATAGTCTTTGGGATACTTTTTCTTTACTTAGATTATATAGCAGTCCATGAAAAATATATTTAGCACGCGAAAACAAGTTTGCTTTCATTGCATTTAAGCTAATGTACTGATTTGGAGCGTATTTTGGATAATGCAAATGACACAGCAGTAGACCACAGATCTTTTTTAGGCATTGCTAATTGATTGGACATAATATGAGCAACCTATTAAAAAAATCAAATCAAATTTGAAATGGTATTGTTATTTAAGATTTTTTATCCTGTATTTTAAACCTGTTTTGCTTATAAGGGTGCTTGTATTAGCTCGAGAAAAAAAAGTCAAACGTAAATCAAAAGATGTAATCTAAAATTAAAACAAAATAATAAAAAAAGCTTTATGATTAATCATCACAATAACAATGGTTATTAGGTCTAAGGTTATAACTAACAATAACAAATTTTTTTTCTTCACACGGTCTTCGACTAACGACAACTAACTACAAGAATATTGCGAGCCGTATTGTCTTGGTTCTTCAGCCAAGAACAATGTTTATTATTTTACCAGATAATTCTAAAACTATGCCAACAGCTAAACTGCTTGCATCGCACCACACTGTTGCTTTAGAAGTGTTTTTGACGTTCCATGAACCATGAACGGAATCTTCCTTTGTAAGTCTTTCCTTTAAATTGCTATTGGAAAATGTCCAGTTAGTTATCCGCACCAAGAAAAGACTTCACAAACACCGACAAGTTTTTTCGACAACTTTGAATCCAAGTCATTTTTTTTCAAGAGCTCTTGAACCCTAAAACTTGATATTATGTTATTATTAACGATGATGTCATCAATAAATAAATCCATCCATATCCTCGACAACTTCGTCTGAAGACATTACCTTTCTTTAGATTTTCTTTAGACTACTGTCATAACTTGTTCCCAAGTTATAACAATTTATGTTGGACTCAATAACGCATGTTTTGCGTCAAAACTTGTTAAGTTTTCTAAATTTTGGCACCAAATTTTGAAAATAAATTTGTTTTTCAAATGTTATCACTGAGAAAGAATTTTATTGCAATTCTTATGCAAAATTATTTTTGTTTTCTTTTTTTCTAAAGAATAAAGCATTCAATTCTACCAATTATTATTTTCATATTAGGGGCCCCTAGGTAAGAATTTGCTCCGTTTGGGTCAATCAGATCAAAAGCTATAAAAGTTTTGTTTAAACCGTAAAAATTAACTTTAGATTTAGATAAACTGTCAGAATAAACAAATTCATTTATATTTTTAAATATTAGGTAAATATGTAAAAATAAACAGGGCCTGTTTTCCTATATTGGGCCAAATTGGGCCAAGAATACAAAAAGCTTTTTAAGAACCGTAAAAATTAACTTAAGTAAAAAAAAAGAGCTTTTAAACTGTTTGAGTAAACAAAATCATTTGTATTTATAAATATCAAGAAAATATGTACAAATCTTAAGGCTTATTTCCCCCATTTACGGCTATTGGGCCAAAAACAATCAATCCTCTGTAAAAACAATAAAAATTAATTTTAGTTAAATAAAAGACTTTTTTCAAACTGTCAGAATGAGCAAATTCATTTTTATTTATAGCTATTAGGAAAATATGCGAAAATACACAGAGCCCGTTTTCTCATTTTGGGGCAAATTAGGTTAAGCGTACATAAATAAATAATATTTTATTCAACCGTATCAATAAAATTTACAAATTTCATCGTAAATTAATATAAATTGGTTAGGTGTCACTCATATAGTTACAAACTAGTCAATGGAGTGACACCTAAAAAACATAAAAATTTCACGAAAAAATAAATAAATAGAAAGAAAAAAAAAAAAAGGAAACTAAAGTAAACAAAACAAAACAAAAAAAAAACAAAAAAAAAAGGAAAAACTCATTATCTGTATATATAAATAATAAAGAAAAGAAGAAAAGATTGTTAAACAAATAATAATGATATATGTAATAATAATAGTAATAATACAAAATGATAACAATAACAATAAAGTACCAATAATATTAAGAATATTATAATACCATATTAGTTGTATGTACAAATCATTGATGATAATTAGATATAATAATAACATAAAATGTAACATTAATAAAACAATAATAAATAAATATAAGATTGGTAAATAATAAATGAAATAAAAATCAAACCACAAGACAACTATAGTACAGAGAGAAATTATAAAGAAATACACTCCAACAATATATTTTTAAATTGAATTCTGTTGAGCAGTAAAAAATTCGTAACAAGTGGATATTTTTTCTTAGACTTTTTTGTTAATGCAGGAATACACTGGTTCCATTGAGAGATACATTGTTGTTTTATGGAAAACTTACCATATTTGATTGTGCTGAAAAAAGAATAGTATAGCTTACTATTTTCTGTATTCCTGGTGTGATGATTATGAACTTCGTTTGTTTTAATAAAAAAATTTGAAAAAGGGCTTGGTAGTTTATTTTGGAGAAAGTCAAACACAAAAAGACAATTGTAAAACTTTACAATATTATGGAGTTTTAGGATTTTTAGTTCAGAAAATTTTTTTTCGATATCAGATCTCATTGGGGAAAACGTCATTACTCTAATAGATGCGCGTTGTAAACTAGCAATGTTGTTAAGTAAAAAGTTTTTTTTTTGACCCCAAACAATACAACAATAGCAAAGGTGAGAAGAGAATAAAGAAAAATAAATCATTCGAAGAGTTTGGATAGGAACATAGTAACGAATTAGAGAAAGCATACTGTTAGCTCGTGTAAGTTTTTTTTTTAGATGATACAGTTGATTATACCAAGATAGGTTTTCATCAAGATATATTCCAAGATACTTTATATATTTTGATGGAAAAAGTTTTTTACCGTTAATTTTAATTTTAATATGATCAATAGTTTTTTGAGGGGAATGAAAAATAATGTATTCAGTTTTATTGACATTCAAGGAAATACGGTTACTATTTAACCAGTTACATAAGCGATGAAGATCTTGATTAACTTTTTTACAAATAGTCGTGAGGGATTTGTTGATATATAAAAGATTGGTATCGTCAGCATAATGATGTATCATAGAATTTTTTAACGAACAAGATAAATCATTTATATATAATAAGAACAACAATGGTCCAAGAACGGAACCTTGTGGAACGCCATATTTAATAACTTTATGTGTGGATTCAAATCCATTAATTGAAACAAACTGAGTGCGATCCGTAATATATGAAGAAAACCAATGATTAGCAATACCACGTATTCCGTAGTAGTTTAACTTTTTTATTAGAATGTTGTGATCAACCGTATCAAAAGCTTTTTGAAGATCTATGAATACACCACAAGCAAAAGAACCACTGTCAATTGCACCACGAATCATTTCAGTAATGCTAATAAGAGCGTGAGAAGTGGAGTGATTTGAGCGAAACCCAAATTGTCGAATATGAAAACAAGCAGAATTATTTAAAAAGTTGTAAATACGAGAATACATAAGTTTTTCTAAAAGTTTTCTGACATTTGATAATAATGAAATTGGTCTATAGTTATTACGTTCAAGTTTTGAGTCTTTTTTATGAATTGGGACAACAGAAGCAGTTTTTAAAATATCAGGGAATACACCGGTTGTGAATGACAGATTAAATAGTTCAGAAAGTACAGGAGAGATATCATTTGCAAGAGCTTTAAAAATAGGTATTGGAATGCTGTTAGGTCCAGAAGCCTTGCTGTCATTAAGAGAATGAATAATCGATAATACTTCGTTTTTGTCTGTAGGTTTTATGAACATTGAATTAAGATTAGGATTTTTAAGATATTTATTAAAGTCAGTATTGGATGAGTGGATCTTATTCTGTAAATCTTCCGGAACTGAAACAAAAAATGAATTAAAAGATTCCGAAATTTTAATGGGGTCGTGTATCATGGAGTTGGTAGAAGATAAGCATGAAGGAGATGAGTTAACTCTCGAACTACTGTTTAAAAGGTTCTTAATACCATTCCATGTAGATTTCAAATTTTTGGCATTGTCAGAGAAGAACTTAGAGTAATGGTTCTTTTTACTACGACGGGTGAGAGTAACAAGTAAGTTTCTATATGCTTTATAAGATTTTTCTAGATTGAGTTTGTTATTAGGATTCTTTGCTTTAAGAAATTTTTTAAATATTTTATTTCGCATTTTAAT